ATACTGTGCTTAACCTTTACAATAAGGTTGTTGCTGTTCGGGATGAGTTTTCTGAGTAAGTCTCCTATTGGATTCCCCGTCTTTGGTGGATTTTCTATTTTATTTCCTGCCTCTCTTGCTCCCTACAACTCTCAAAGTGGAAAGTGTAGTCTCTAGAGTTGAGAAATCATCTGGTAGATCAGAGGCTTTGTTGGTAGCCTACCTCATGGTATTCTTGGTTTCACTTTATTCTTGGTCTTTGTTTTTTTGTTTTTTTTTACTTTGTGCCACTTCAGTATGCATTTGCAAAGTTTTATTTTTTTAAAGTCTCACATTTGCTTGCATGTTAATTAATTAATTATCTTTTTAAAAAAATATACTTTATTTATGACCCCCTTCTAGCCAGTGCTGCCCACCCCAGGTGCGGGTCGCCGGGGAGGAGCCACGGGAGGTTGGCTCCAGGGCGTGTCTGGCCCATTTTGCCCAGTCCCACCCCAAACATCAGTGAGAGAGAAACATCCATCAGCTGCCTCCTGCACACCTCCTACTAGGGATGTGCCTGCAACCAAGGTACATGCCCTTGGTCGGAATTGAACCTGGGACCTTTCAGTCCACAGGCCAACTCTCTATCCACTGAACCAAACTGGTCAGGGCTAATTAATTAACTTTTAACTTATTTTTTGTTAATCCTCACCTGAAGATATTTTTTCCATTGATTTTGAGAGAGGGATTGGGGGTGGGGGAGAGAGAGAAGCATCGATGTGAGAGAGACACATTGACTGGATGCCTCTCACACCCTTCCGGATCAGGGAGGGGATCCAACCTGCAACCCAGGTAGGTGCCCTTCACTGGGAATTGAACCTGACCTGTGGTGTGGAGGCCAACACCCTAACTATGGAGCAATACTGGCCAGGGCACATTTTGCATGTATTTAAAAGGAGCTTTGTTAAAGGCACTTAAACCTTTATACATTATTCAAATTTTCCTTTCATTTGATACTTCCCCCATAATTTGAGCTTAGAAACTTTTTTCCTAAATTCAATTTACTACTATATTTAAAGATCTAAGAATCATATGCTATTAGAATTTCACCTAAGATAGATAATCTAGTTCATCCTTTGGAATAGAGCAATATGAAGGAGATGAACTTTTTTGTCATACTTGGATTTTGAGATCTTACTCATCCACTTGTGTGAGTTACTTGTTTTGTGAGACTCTGTAATATCTTTTTAAAACTAGCTTGTCCTAGAATCATTGTGAGCCTTAAATGAGACAACATACAGTTTCTGGTACATGGCTTAGTGTAGTGGTTCAGGAAATACTGTGGTTGTCCCATCACTTTTTAGAAGAGGAGATTGAATTATAAGAAGCATATATTTGCTAACTACACACAATTTTGTACTTGAGCTGGAAGTCACTTCCCTATCTCTTCCGGATTTTACCTTTCAGAAGAGTAATGTTCGGTAACTAATTCTGCCTGCCTGTATATTTCTTGAATAACTTATACATATTCTAAGGACTGACATATTTGGGAAGAGATAATTTAATAGAATTTAATGTAATATTCATTATGGCACACCTTTTGAATGTTAAGTGAACAAACATCTATATCTATATATATAAAAGGTTAAGCGACCATCCGACTGTCCAACCGGCCGGTAGGTATGATGTGCACTGACCACCATGGGGCAGACACTCAACGCAGGAGCTGCCGAGCTGCGGTTACTTGGCAGGGGGGGGTTCTCGGGGAACACACCCCAGAACCAGAGAAGAGGGAGTTTGATTCCAGGGTGCATCACCCGAGATCCACCCTCAGGGGAGGTCAGAGAGCCAGTTTTGGCCCCATCCCCACAGGCCAGGCCGAAGGACCACACCTGTTGGAAGGACCCTGCTCATTCCACAGACCCCCTTCTAGCCACAGTGCCGCCCACCCCAGGTGCGAGTCGCCAGGGAGGAGCCACGGGAGGTTGGCTCCAGGGCATGTCTGGCCCATCTTGCCCAGTCCCACCCCACAGGCCACCTTCTAATTAATTTCCTTTCAATGTGCATGGATCTGTGCACCTGGGCACTAGTACTAGTATATACTATAACGCAGTTGTTATCTTAGGGAGCTTGTTAGCTTGTGAGGAGCCTTTAATAATTATGGTCAATATTCTTAGTGCAGTAGAAGTAGCACCGTCCTGGGACAGAAGAGGAGTTGTTTGAACTGGGTCATGAAGTTTGTGTAGGATGCCAAGATACTGGCAAAGGAGGAATGGGTTTTTAAGCAGAAGTAACAGCAGCATATGCAAAGGTCTGAAGGCTGTGGGGAGCATGTTCTGTTTATGAGAAGTCTAGGTTGTGTGCACTCAATAAACCAGTCATAGTCTGAGGAAAGGAATGTCTCTGGTAGTACTGATGATGTGTCTTAAATGATTGCTAGTGTTCCGCATGTGAAGATAGAATGGGTAGGATAATACAAATTGATGAAATAAGTTACTTAGCAGAATATAAGTTACTAATCTATGAGGACCATGGATAGTCACATTGACTTGGCCACTTACTCTTGAACTCTCACACCCAAAACAGAGCAGCTTAGACATCAGTTCTTTTTGAGAAATCATCAGGAAATTTTAGAGGTTTTGTTTCTTGTTTTTTTTTGGTGGGGAGGAGCTAAGAGAGCGTTTTTTTCCAGGCTTACACATATAAGATAAAGTGATAAAAACATTTTGGGCCGAAACCGGTTTGGCTCAGTGGATAGAGCGTCAGCCTGCGGACTGAGAGGTCCCGGGTTCGATTCCGGTCAAGGGCGTGTGCCTGGGTTGCGGGCACATCCCCAGTGGGGGATGTGCAGGAGGCAGCTGATCGATGTTTCTCTCTCATCGATGTTTCTAGCTCTCTATCTCTCTCCCTTCCTCTCTGTAAAAAATCAATAAAATATATTTAAAAAAAAACATTTTGGGGATGGAGTGTATATAACTTTGACTACCCAATATAATAGTTTAAATTTTGTTTGGTAACTTTAGGGAGGTCCATTGTAGCATTTGAACGGGAGACTTGACATGATGATTTATCTAGGTGATTTATCTGACTGTGCCAGATGGAATGAGAGAGGAACATGTCTGAAGCAGCAGGATCACCTGTTACTATATATCAAGACTGAAGTGATTAAGACTTGAGTAAGTAGTAGTAATAATGTTGGCAGTGAGAATAGCACCAGGTGTTAGTCCAGTAGAGTCAGGCTGGACCTTGCTTTAGCAACCTCAATACTTGAGTTTTGGCTAAAAAAGAATTCAGAGCCAAGACTCAAACTATGAGAGAAAGTTTATTTACAAAGTTACAGAGGTAGAATAAGTGAGCTGTAGAAGGAATGGGCTCAGGAAACAAGTTACAAAAGCAAAAGAAAGGGCCCTTGGAGTTTAGGAGACGGGACCTGGGGGGAAGTGGAGAGGACTGGAAAGGTGAAGGTGTATCTCTGAGAGGGAAAGCATGCTGGGTCCTCAGTCCTAAGGGCTTTTAAGGATGGAAATTTTAGAGTAGTTCCCAAGGGATGATCTTAATAGAATATTCATCAGCTTTCCAGGTGTGTCCTTTCAGGGTTGTTGTCTCTACTGATTGGTTGGTGACAGGGCAAGGGGTCATTAGTCAGTGCAATTGGTCCTGACTCATGGCCTGGCTCCTCTGGTTTCGCTGCTTTTCTGAGCCTGGAGCTGAAACACAACTGAAGCCTAGAAGTTATGCCTTAGAGTCAGTGTTTTAAGGGAGTGGTCATGCAAGGGGCCACCTGGGAGTTCCAGGAGGCTACTCCTCAGCCCCTTGTTCCTTCTCTAACAAGGAGGTTACCACATTACTAGCAACATGCCAGGGGATAGAAGGTCAGGTGTTTAAACTGCATGACCAGCAATGTGCTAGGGGAGGAAAAGTTATCCTGGGGGCAAGATCCTTGTTTTCTTAATTTTGTCCCTTGCTAGGCACCCGGGGCTTTACAACCTGGTGACCTTCTATATCTGGCCGATCGTCCTTGCTTTGCTTATGTCTGTCTAACTGCCTACCATAGTAACTGTCCTTCTTCCTTAAAAGAAAGGATATTGTGAGAGTGATTTATAAAAAGAATTGACAAGTTCTAAGAAACAATTGAAGATAAGAGTTGGAAATGTTGATGAAATTTCATACTTGGGTGACTGGGATATTTTTTATATTAGCAAAAGATACAACATTGTAGAAAAAGTAGTTGAGGTGGGGAGACTGAAATTGTTACTTAATGGATGCGAAGCTAATAATAAAGTATGCTTTAGGACATACCATTTGTAAAAGTAATTTTTAAAAAGTATGGTTTAGTCTGTGATTAGACAGGCAGTGTGGTCTTGTGTCCGTAGCATAAGTTATAGAGATAGGCCTATATTGCAACTCACTTTTAGTAAGTATCATTGTTCTAGACTGGAAAGTCACTAATCTCTTTGGGTTTTACTTTGTTCATCTATAAATTAGAGATAGCAATACTTGCTTACAGGGCTGTTGTGTAAACTAAATAGTATAATGTATTGGCACACCAGTCCATTTTATGCCTTCAATACATACTAATTTTTCCTTCTTCCTTAAAAGATGCCAGCCTCACTCTTGGCTATTGTCATACATTAAGATGGACACCAAACACTAATAAGTTCACTGGAATAAAATCCTTGATTGTTCACTAAATAAAATATGTATATGATCAGGCAGCTTGTAATTAGACTAGCAAAGAAGTTATAATTATTGAATGTGTAGGTGTAGTTAACAGTCTTCATTTCTGGTAAATGACTTTACTTAGAGTATGTTTGTGTGAGCAAGAGAGACTATTTCCTGGAAGGAAACTGTGGTCTCCAGATGTTTATAATGATGTCACCTTTAATCTTTTTTGAACTCATGAGCATTAGACCATTTTCTTGAGGCAGTTTCTTGCAAGAAGTGAATGAAGCCTCCTTATGAGCTTGTTAAGACTCCATAGACTGTCAGTGATATGGAAAAATTGGATATTTAATCAAGAATGTGAACATGTGTTTCAGGTAGAGAATTCCAAAGATAATGAAGATAATATTCTCCAAAGAGAAATTCCTGCCAGGCAGTCTCGACGAAGGTTTCGGAAAGTTAACTATAAAGGAGAGCGCCAAACCATTACTGATGATGTGGACATCAACAGTTACCTTTCTGTGAGTGTATTTCAGAACGTTTTGTGGATCTTCCTTATTTTCATTACAGTATCTTTACATATATTTTGGTAATATCAACACTTTGGGCTCTACATTTAGAAGTTTGGGGCTGGTAAATATATCTGTAATTTTTAAAAATACTTCTGTTGAGTTGAGTAGAAATACTCCACCAGTGAGAGTTTTGTTTTTGCTTTAGTTTTTATTTTCCGTTTAAATAATGTAAAAAATAATCTTACTGTATTTTTTTAGACATATTTGTGGATTTTCTTGTCTTTTTATTGCCTGAATGGAATATAGAGTAGAGTCCTGGAAACTCAAGTAATAGACTCATTGATAATGCTATAAGGCATTCAAAAGAAAAAAAAAGTCAATTCTGCCCTGAGGTGTGGGACAAATATACTTAATGTGTGTTATTGCAGAAACATATGCAAGTGTTAAAGGTATATTTCACATGCAAATATTGAAAAAGTAGATGAAATATTAATTTGTGTAACACCAGAAGGAACATAAGCTGTTTCTTTAGAAATCTTTAGTTTTTGTAACTGTAGATAACTTCATTTTAGATGGAAAAGTAGTTGAATCAAGAAGTAAGGATAATTTAAAGAATAAATCTAGGTGTATTTTATCAGTTTTCAAAGGAGTCATGATCTCCCAAAATATAAAAGCAGTCTAGAGATTGATCACAGCAAAATTTCTGAGGGTATGTTTAGTTCTTTTGGATGTCAGAAACAGAAATTTACTTATTTAATGTTAGGAACAAAAGATTATTTATAGAGGAAGTTATTTGTACTGGAATAAGTGTTAAATTTAAGTCAGCTTTAAGGATTTAGTCGCATTTGCCTAATTTTACTGATCCAGTACATTCTACTCTGACAACAAACAATAACATGATATAGTACCCAAAATTTTTTACTGCGTTCAGACCATACAAAGTTTATTTTTATTTTTCTTATTTAATAATTTATTTTTTATAATAAATGTCCCCATCACTAATTAATTTAAGCTAACACTTTTGCCTTACTGCACAAGTAATATGTGTCGATTTTAAATGTGCCTAAATTAAAACTTGGTTAGTCTCACAACCCATTTATGTAACCATTTTCTTAATGTCCTGGTACTCCATTATAATAATTCCCATAATTTATTTATTCAGTTCCAATATTAGGTCATTTAAATTTCTCTAGTTTTTCTATAATTTTAGAAAAATAAGGTGCTAAATGTATGTGGTTATATTTGCCCATATCTTGGTTTCTTTAGAAAAAATTTCAAGGACTAGAATTGCTAAATTGAAGTATCTTTAATTTGCTATTTTGTTCTCCTTGTATGAGTTAGAGTATATAATGGTGTTTTTTAATTGAATTTATTGGGGTGGCATTGGTTAATAAAATTATACAGGTTTCAGGTATATAGTTCTATAATACATCATCTGTATATTGTATTATTTATTGAGTCTACTTCATCACCATTTTTCCCTCCTTTACCTTCTACCTCCCCCAACACCTCCTTCCCTCTGGCAGTCATCATACTATTGTCTCTGTCCACTAATCTTTCTTTTTTGTTGTTGTTGTTTAATATCTTTACCCTTCTCACCTAGCCCCCAACCCCTTCCTCTCTAACCATTGTCAGTCTGTTCTCTATATCCAAGAGTCTGTCTCTACTTTGTTTGTTAGTTTATTTTTATTACTAGAGGCCCAGTGCACAAAAATTTGTGCACTCGGGAGGGGGAGAGGGGGTCCCTCAGCCCGTCCTGTGCCCTCTTGCAGTCTGGGACCCCTCGGGAGATAATGACCTGCTGGCTTAGGCCTGCTCCCAGGTGGCAGACGGCAGGCCCAGTCCCTAGGTGCAGCCCCTGGTCGGGCTCAGAGCAGGGCCGTTTGGGGATTTGGGGCGCTGCCCTCTGTCATGCACAGAGCAGGGCGGATCGGGAGGTTGCGATGCCACCCCTAGTCACGCTCAGAGTACGGGCCGATTGGGGGTTGGGGCAACGCCCCCTGTCACACTCAAGGCAGGGTCGATAAGGGAAGTTGCGGCCGCCATCCTCTCGTCATGCACAGAGCAGGGTCGGACTAGGGGGTGGGGCGCTGC